ATATGGATAATAACAATTGGGAGTAAAAGATCGACGAATTTGATAGGAGCATTCCCAGTGGTAAACGTTAATCTTAGTTATATTGTACTGCTCAATCTTAAGACCGCCGTCGAAGCTTTGCTTCAGTATAAGTAAACAAAACTCAGGTATTCGGTATTACTGTTAAAGTATACTCATTCTTACGGCTAAACACACCTAGTGCACTCTCATTATGTGTTATTTGGTCTGTGACCAGTCTGACCATTAGACAGCATCACCAACGTCAGCTCCACTGGTCCTACATCTGGATGATTGCGAGAAGCTCATACTAAGATCTACCAGACAAACACTCGGATAATATTTCGAGTTTGTACTGTACTAGTTTTGTCGAAGCAATTCCTTCAGCTCTGGCATCGTTACCTCTGCAGAATTTTAGCGCCGCGCAAAATTGCACTGGTATGGAAGCTTTGATGGCTGTTCAAACTCTACAAGTAGATCAACTTATTGGGCAAGACTGACGCATCCAAATTGTGTCTTAGCCGTTAACCAACCATAATAATGTTATCGTATTCTATAGAGCTATAGCTAATCATTTCTACTCACTGATTGAATGTTCACTTTACGTCGTCCCACACTCTCGACCCCATTCGTTCCAATTATATATTGTCGATTACATTTTCATATTTGGGTTGTCAGTTGTTCTGACTTAAATCCTGGATTTTAGCCTCCATAATGACCGGGAAAATTAAATTGGAGACCCAAGCTCTAGGTTATAAGACCGCCGCACTTGAAGATAATAAAAGTCTTTGTTAGGCTACAGATTAAGTTGTTTGAATCTTCTGATTGCGACCTAAAACTCGCTATTTTTACGGCAACTGGCACATAAACTCTTGCTACTGAGCATCTACAAAGCTTGATCCCAGACACAAAACCGCGTCATCGATTAATATTGATTCCGCTCGACCAGCTTAAAAATGATAGAAAAGATTGCCATGGAGTGGTCACACTTGAATGGCTGTCATTAGATTAAGTTGAAAGCATTATCCATCGCAAACATGCTTTTTGTATTCTCCAATCGCCAGCTCTACCGGTTCGTAAACAAAGGATTGTTTTTGTTCTGATCATGGCCCCTTAGAGGTTTAGGGCAGACTTAGTTGCAGACATATGTATGTGCGAGTATCGTTAATAAAATGTGAAAAAAACTAGAAATTATTATTTGAGACTATCTTGTCACTTGAGGACACATAATAACGGCGATAACGCATATCTAGCAAACTTCGCCCGAAGCAGCGCTATTGATAATCGAGATTAGAAATAAGTAGTTCAGCTTATGTGGCGTCTAATATTCCGACGACGTTTGTGCATTTGCAGCGTTGCGAAAGGTTTAACACAAACTCCGTCGGCTTGAGACACGTTATTCGTATACGGAGGTGCGCTAAATAAGAGTCCTGACAATATATTCAGTCATAGTTCAAATCATTCTCTAATGTAAACACTGTCGTCACTCGCAGCCGAGCCCAGCTGGTACTCATAACTTTTATAGTAGGCGCTTTACCACTTGTCATTCTTCCATCTCGAGTCACAAGACCAATGCGGCAAGTACAAAGTAAAGACAATGTCAAGAGGGATCGTTGTGATATGAAACAACTTACCAAGAAAGTGAAATCTCCTCCAATATCTGCGTATGCCCTTCGTAAGGAACATAAGAGGCTTCTTATGGAGCAAGCAGAGAATATGCAATATGAATTGGACAAGCTTAAGTTTCGACATTTGGTCAAACAAGGACAAATTGGCAAAGATACCAAGCGCACGGCGGTAGAAAACTCGGTGCTGCACGAGTATATACAAAAACAACATCTGACGCTTGCTGCAACACAAGCAGCAATTACTGGACATGTGGTGAGTCAGTAATGGTATCTATGCAGACCTGACATGGTATTAATTATGGAATTATGCTTTGCCTTTTGTAGCACCAAAGTCTTGGAGCTCAACAGCCTGTACAAAGTGTTATTTACTTGGGAAAAGATCAACTGGATCGTTATCGCACACTTCTGACCCTGAAGGAACGTAAACTGTATGAAGCAGAGCGGTATTTGAACATGCGAAGTCATGGTCTCGAGAATATGGCAAATTACTGTCAGAACGAGTCATATGATACAGTTGATGGCGATAATTGCGCTATTCGATTTGAAATTAAACGATTAGCAGGGACCACTGTCAAAGTTGTTCATAGTGCTATTCTCAATACTATCGTGAATGCTGAAATGTTTCTCTCGGAATTGTTTGGGAGCATCACGATCCGTGAAGACAACAATGACTCATTGAAAGATGAGATGACGCAGCTTCGATTACTCTCGCTGACGTCAACTGGAGCGACTGTAGAGTCGAACACCGTTGTATTTTCAAAGCTAGTAGATGGAGTGGACGGGGAGTATGGAATTGTTGCCTTAGACTTTGTGGATCGTGATGAGTTGCATCCATATCGCAGCAAGGAGCGTGTGCGCCGAGACACCACTACAGTTATTATGGTGCGTGCACTTCCGCTGACAAATGGATTGCCAGGGGTGGTTGTGATGCGTCGATCATTTCTCAAGGTCCACAGGAGTTCGACCAATGGCTTTCGAAAGCCAGAGACGGAAATGATGGAGAGTTCAGTGTGCTGGGGGGACACAGCCTCAAAGTGCGTAGAGCACCAGCTCAAGAAAGATGGTAACCGAGAATCTTCCCTCGCTTTGTACATGTAGCGGCTAAAATATAACACGTTCAACTGCGCATACCATGCATCCGAGAAAATCTTGAAGTTTGTGGACGAATTATGCGTACGATAGCATCTGAAAACCTTGAAGTTCGTGGGCGCTTCACGCGTACGTTAGCATCAAGAATCTTGAACTTTGTGGGCGATTCAAAAACCAAAATTGACCATTTACGTGGTTCAGTGAGTCATCAGAAAGTCCACTACCCACGCAAATCCCGACCATATCCATAACACACGTCAGACAGGTTGAGTGCTGGCTCTGCTCAGTTTCGTTGACACAAAAAAATGTGACAGCTATTGCTTTGAACAATGAAGATCACAGAACGTCAACTGGGATCGATTGCTACACAAATGCTTTGCCAATCTCCGACAGTGGAAGAATCTGAGGCGAAGAATAATTTTAAAATGCTTGGTAGAAGACAATAATTAATTATATACATATAACTTTTCACTTTTCATTTGATTCTGCATAATTCCGTGATGGTTGTTTATAGTAATACAGCTTGTACGCATCAAAATGAAAAATGTGTCCTTGCTCATTTACTGAGATCGTTCCACTTCTAGCTGGAGCAAAGATTTGGCGAAGCGAGGATGCGATTTGAAGCGAAATTTTTTTTGAGCAGAATTAATGAATTTCATCCATCAAAATTTTTACGGATCCATTATTCTCTATAGACCAGTGTAATATGCGACAACTCAGAGGTTAGGTGGCGAATATGCTTAAAAAAGGGCTGAATAAATACTTAAAACTTGATAATTATATGCTCGCAAATGAATTACTTCTCGCTAAGTCAAGGATGAAGTTTATCAGATCTCGTACTCAAACATGTAGCATAAGTTCAATGAGGTTGAATCGTGAATTTCAAAGCAGAGGACACGAAACACGCCTTTCTGTCAAAAGCTTATTGTGTCTCCCATAGTGAAAATTTTAGGAGGCAGGTCTTTTTTCACCCAAACTCGCGGATGCACTCAGGAGAACGATGACGAAGAACGGAGCCAGTGTGGAGAAGTATTTGGGGCTTGTTTGGCTGATCACATAACTTCTGAGCGACGGTTGTGGGTGATGTGCAGATAGTTTTCTCTTTTCGAGATTCTGAATATTGTTTACGCCCATATAGTTGCTTCTGATTCAGATACCAGCTCTGTACCCCAAAGCGATTTGGAAGCGTGTCCGTTAAAATTGATACACAAAGTATCAGCCAACACTGCGACGTAAAATCAAAAAATTGTAATGGCTAAAGGTCTGTCTGGTTGTCGCTGTTGACCGAGTATGAAAAGGGGTCTTTCAAATTTAGTAAATTATACATTAAAACCGAAATGAAGCATCTTCTGCGCATGCAAGTACGAGTTGTATAGTGCTTTCTCGTCGTCTGCCTCAATACAAGCGACATAAAGCTCGCGAAGAAATGTAGCGTACTGAACTTCGTCAGTCTGTTTCATTACCTTGCTCAAAAGTTTGGCCATAAACCTGAGACACAATCCATAACTCTCGTCAGGGTGACTTGATCAATAAAGAGGGTGACACGTACATGGCAATGCGAGTATCACACACTTGCATAAGTGGCGTCAAGGCTGCCAAGCCTCCCACTCTGTCAATGATTGTTTGATTATCCGAAAGAATATGCGAAACAACTAAAGCCGTGCACGCTGTTACATCTCCAACCAAAGAATCGTCCACTCCACAGCAAATACCTTGACACTCAAAGTTATGGTGTGAACTGGGCATTTCATGCAATACTGTCAGCACATGCAGAAAAAAAACACCGTCCATTTGCTGCAACATTTGTAGATTTAAGGCGACATCCCCGTTTAGCACTTGGGACGCTAACGAGTCCGATGAGGCGATACGGTTATGCAGGTACCCCTTTTGATTCCTTCTGTCCTGTTGTTTCCATCGCTTGTCGATATAGGATAAATCACATTGACATATTTCCAAAATGAGTAACATCATTGATATTAAAACCGTCGCATCACTTTCTTGATAATCCAGAAGCACGTTCAAACAAGTATTGACTTCTTTAATGACCGATCCTGGCTTCCCTGACTAAAATAACCAGTAGAGAAGAATCAATTAGCTGCTATCCGATTAAAAAACAAGCCTTACACAAAGCTGCAATCTCCGCTGTACTATCAATGTTAATACTTTTGCAAACGATCTTCGGTATTCTTCAGGATTTGTAGACAGAGACAACTCCCAGAACGTCGCTTGCGCAGCTACGCTGATTTCTTTGTTTTCATCAGAACACAACGTTTTATCCTGTTCTGCTCCCGCAGATACTCGTTTTGGACGAACAAGCCGAGCTTCCGACTGCTTGCGAACGGATCCTGCCGCCGTTGTTGCTTTGCTATCATACGATGAAAAAGTATCATCTCCTCGGTCATTACATAATAGTTCTGCAAGCCATCGTTCTCCTCGAAACCTCTCAACCCCTCGACTTGATCGCAGCAATTTTGAGATATGACTCATGACTTCGTTCGGAAAACTTGATTTACCGCAATTCTTAGCCCCTTTAATCAATATTTCAAGACTCGGATCCGCTCCAAAGTATGCGTCTATTTGCATGATTGAGCGAAATCGAGTCACGAACACATTTAACTGTTTTTCCGACACTATCGGACAGCTTAAAGCCATATTTTTTGCGACTCGAGCGCTTGAGACATACGGCGAGAACAAAGCTTGTCGTAATTTAATGGCCCGATCTTCCCAAATTACGAATGTGTGCCAAATCTGGTCCAGCCCAGCAAAACTAATTCCTTCACGATTTCCAGAGCGTCGGATATCGTCACAAACACAATCCACAAACACCATATAGATTAATCGCTGCAAACGAGCGAATGGTGAGATGAGGAAACACATAAGCAATTCGAAGCTTACGTACTTTTCCACAATGGCTACTGGCAGACCGCAAGTCCACATAGTGTGGTCCTTCGTCGATATGTGGAATGACTTGTTGCCGCTATTGAGCTTGTGCGCGTACATTGTCGCCACAATAACTTCCATCACTTGCAACTGTAAGTTTGAAGTAATTGGGTCACGATTGCTGGCTTCTGCTGCGAGAAATATAAGGGTGTGCTCATTTAATAACCTTAATCGATCGGAGCGATAATTGCCATTTGCTTTTTTGATAAAGAAAGTCAAACATCCCATCGCTTGGTCGACCCAGTCTGACGAAGATGTAGTAGAGCCTAATTGAGACGCTGAGAAGACTGCTATGGCCTTGGCTACCATATCTTGCAATACATGAAATAAATTCTGCTCCAAGCGCTCTGCTGAAGTGGCTGAGTGGTTATCATGTCTTGACAGAGTTGCAGCAAGCAAAGCAACGCTGGATTCAAAAAATAAGATGAATGCAAGTCGACGCCACTGTGGTGATGGGCGTATTACCACATCAAGAAGCCTGAAGGGGACTCCGAAAGCATCGAAATTCTCACGACTTGCTGGATTCGCATTGATGAGACAATTTACTGCGGCTTGAGTAAGTAAGGCTATATAGTTTTGTTCCCGCTGGCTGAGCAACCTTTTGTCCCTCCGTTCGTACAAATCATGAAGTTCCTGTAGAATATCTTCCAAATCTTTCAGTGTCAGAATTTGGCTTGGTTGAATCTTTAAAGGCTGTAATTTTGTCATTGATGGCTTCTTGAGATGCAATGCTTGCTGTGTAGCTTCAATTTCGTTCGCTAAATCAGCGACGTTGGTCACAGCAAGAGTTTGACAGTCATCTTGTCGAATTGTCAATAATTCAGAATCAGTATGATGATTTGCTTCATTTCCATAGCACCGTCGAAAAACTTGGCATAGCACCTCGTCCAAGTCTTCATCGTGCACCTCCATCGTTGCAGTGAAAAGGCGGTAAAGTCGAGTCAAAAAGTCGCTAAAAACAATCCCAGTCGTTTCACACGTTGACTGTAGGAATGGACACAGATGCTACTGCAATCAACTCTACACGCGACGGAGATGCATTGCAAGATGTAGACGTGACTTCACTGCCCACTTTGCAGTCACATGTTGTGTTTGTACGAAAATCATGCCAATTATTAAAACGAAAAGTATTGTTGAAAGCTTTGCACTATTTTGCTTTTTCAGAGACTACGACGAGTGAAAGACGACAAAGCACCTTGGATTGTGGAAGTGGTGATTTTGCTTTTTAATGCACAGGTACAAAAAGATAAGGTCAGTCGAGACTCAAAATAGGAGAAAGTGACGTTGGATATACTTTCCAGGGCGACATGTTGCAGGTTGCTCGCGGTGTTTCGCCTGCTGACACAACCTTTTTCGGTAAAAACAATTTGTATGTGACTCGAGCCAAGTCGAAAGCGATCGACGAGCGTGAAGTGGCGCACTTTTCAGTCGCGAAGCTGCATCCATATGTTGAAGTCGTGGGATGTTTGGTTACATACGTAGAGGACGAGATCGTCCGCTCTCCTCAACTCAATGCATTTTCACTCACTTGCGACCTCCAAGTTGAAGATAACACCCAATCTGCTTCCATTGACGATGAACAGTGCACTCGTTTGTTGGACGTATGTTATGATCCCAAAACGGTCCAAAGACAAAGTGGCAAACAGCCAAATGTGGTGATACTTGGCAAATTCTTTCGACGTCCTGGTCCAATCTATCAGGAGTGGGCATTCCACGCTGCAAAAACGAATTGTTGTCATGTTGTCATACGGAGCGCTGTGACGGCGTCTCTTGTCGAGACTATGCAGTCTTTTTTACTTGATCTGATACCAGATATTACAATACCGAATCGAAATCCATTGACCACCGTTGCAGGAATTTGCGCTGCTTTAAGTTGCAAAGAGTTAGAAGGCATTAAACGCCATTTTCCTGATGATGGACTGAGTAAAGGAGACTTTGCACGGCTACTCCTTTGGGAGTTAATGCGTACTCGACCAAGTTTAATGCAACATTTTGGTCGGGCAACTGCTCTTGTTGGGCTTTTGTTCGAAATGTTCGAGCAGATAGATATCAACGGCGATGCAATGGTTAATTGGGAAGAATTTACGTCGTTTTGTACCGCCTTAGGACTCTTGGTTACTCAAATTGCCCAGGATGAGCGCAATCGTGACGAAGGACAAAGTAACGAAGATTCTCACAATACACGTCCTCAAGATCTAATCAATTATCGTCATAAAGCTTTGAGTAGCGGAAGTGCAAGTCGGTGAGCGAGTGATGCTTGTATCTTTATCGTATGCTGCTTATATGTCGCTGTAATTTTGTGTCAGTACTTTTCCATATCAAATCAATAAGATCAAAACGTTGTCATTGCTTAAGCGACTTGCAGTGATTGAACACAAATCTCCTCGAATCCTCGTACGACAACCGTTTGATATCTCTGTAGCTTCTACATCGCCACTCACCCATTTGCTACTGATTGCAGATATTTGATCTTGACATGAATTTTCTTCATGAATTTGATTGCGGTGAGAAGCTTGTAGCAGAGAAAAAAGGTGGTGAGAAACAGAAAGAATATTTGGACAACGTGGAGGTTATAGATGCGGAGTATATTTCGTCTCGAAATCTCTTGGCAGTAGTTACAAGTGACTCGTTCGTTTCCTTATGGTCCATTATCGATGCTACCGCTGGAACGTACGTGTTTAATGGAAAACTCATGGCACGTTTTCCAGTACTATTTATCAAATGGTGTCCCCTACCTCTTAAGCGATTGTTTGTTGCTGGTGGATTAGCAGAGCACGTTCAGCTTTGGGACCTCGATGCAATACTGCAAACTGGGGTGTCGACACTATCTCTGCCTTTGCTGCTTCCGCGTAGTCACACGGAACGGATTGCAGCGTGTTTAGATTTACCGGAGTCTCCATATATTGCGACAGCATCGTTCGACCATACAATCACAATTTGGGAGACACAACCAGGTCCGGAAGTCGTTCTCGGCGGCCCATCTGCGGTACTAGTTGTTTCTTCCGTGCTTCGAGGGCACCAGCAAGGTGTTTTGACACTTGACTTTGCTCAGTCATTGCTACTAAGCTCAGGCTTTGAATACCAAGCATATTGTTGGGGGCTTTCCGGACGAGTTTTAAAAACAAAATTAGGAGGTCATCATCATTGCCTTATGGGGGCTAGATTTGTATCAACCGCTTCAAATGAATCATGTCTTGCTGTTACTGGCGATCAAAGTGCCCACTTTAAGCTCTGGGATCTCACTCGATGCGCTAAGGGTTCTTCTGGCAACCATTTATCGATAATGTTGCAGACATTCGAACTTCATACACCAAATCTCTGTCGCTTTCGAATGTTCACCACCACGTCAAATAAGCAGCCTAATGAACCAGGAACTCAAGCGCGTTTGGAAAGCTCTGCTTCCGATGTTATTACTGGAAATCTGCGTCTATATCGCTTCAGTGCGTTCACGCCATCGACACGAGCATTAGACGATGCGACTTTGGATGAAGCGGCTGGTTTGGCCCCCACGCGTTTTGTCGTCTTCAATGCCGTGACGAACGTTTTTGTTGGAGCAGTAGAAAATCGCATTACTGTGTGGAATGCTAATTCTGGTTTGAAAACGGAAGAGCCCGTTATTATTCGAAACACAGAAGTTTGTGCCATCACGTTTGACAGTCCTCGAGAAAGAAAACTTTTTGTAGCTACTAGTGTAAGTGTGGAAGTTTTAAACCTGCTACGTGTAGTGTGCCGACCAACGTTGATAAATGTTTTTTAAGGATGGTGCAATTCGCCTTTATAATCCCGTAACGGGAGCATTGCTGCGGGTAAGTTGACAAGAGCAGGTAAAAGAGTCAATTTCTATCTTAATCACCTGACAGCTTACTCTTTTATTCTAGAAAGAAGTCGTGCATGACGGTGTCGTGACTTCTCTCGTGTTTTGTTCTCACGCTAATGTAATCTAGTGTTTATCAAAGTTGAGCCGTACAGCTTCTAAGATATATTTCTGTACTTTAAACAGTGTTTAGTGTCAACTGGAGAGGATCAAAAGATTTGTTTGTTGGACTCGCCACCTGGAAAATTAAAACTGGAGATACTGCATTTTCTGGAAAAAGCCCACACGTCAAGTATCACATGCTGCGCTTGCTCAATGCCTTCACCGTTCATTCAACCAGCAAGATTCATTGCTACAGGTGACGACGCTGGTGGTGTACACGTATATGATCTTCATCACATTACTTTCAAATTTCGTTGTGCGAATGTGCACACCCGCGAAATTAGCGTTTTGCATTTCGCATCAGCCACGCCTGGATTGTTTATCTCCGGTGATGTTAGCGGTAATATCTTCATGTGGTCAACAAATGGAGTTCGAAGTTCCCTCGCCCAGCCCCTATTGCGCCTAAAAATGCAAGAGCTTAGCCCTTTAATTTCAGATCCAACGTTGGAGGTCGATGGGATCACGGCTGTGTGCTCCACAAACACTAATGAGACTTCACATGGATCGAAAATGTTGTATGTTGGAGTTGAATCGGGGCAAATCTTTGCGTGGGATCTACAATCTCTTCCAACAAACATTTTAATGGAAGGCCACGCGGCAAGGCGTTTAGCCATTTCCCAACGTCATTCTCAGAGTGAAGTGCTCGGTCAAGGTTTCGAAGCAAGTATTAAAAGTGCGATCTTGCCAGTAATATTACCCATAAAGTCCTGGATGGCACATCGAGCAGGTGTCTTGTCAGTGCAAAGTGTAGTGTATCCAGGTGAATTTTTGTCTTTAGGTGTCGATGGTGTGGTCAAGATCTGGGATGATACTGCAGCTTGCATTGGACACATTTTGACCACTTCCGAGCAAAGTGCGGCCTCAGCATCCGCTTGGAAATTTATTCGTCGTGACCATTTGATCGGAGGTGATCAAAGACAACTTATGGAGCAAATTGCACGCGAAGTAATGGCAAAACATGAGCGTCGACTGAAGCGGGAGCTCAATCGCCAACAGAAGCTTGAAATTTCTCCTCGGACCAAGCAATTGGACTCACTCAACTCCTCGTTGTCACTAATGGAGATTTGTTCGCCGACTAACAAAGTACCATCTTCAACATCTTCTCAACTTCCAACTGCCTCGAAAGACCTTACCAATGGAGCATGTGCCTTGTTCACGCAAGTGCCGTTCTCAATTGCATCAGTTTCATCGGGGATTCGCCAGGGATTGTTTGGCGTGGAGGAAGCTCGACAACTTCGTTATATTGCCAAAAACTCCAAAGGATTGCATATAGGTGCACATGCTAAGCGGAAAAAGATTGCAAAACTTGCTCCACTACTCTCACTTGGGGAGACTAATCGAACCGACGCCATGGCAAAAGCAAAAGTCTCGGCAGTCTTTAATAAGGAGCCACAAATTGTAGACTATCCTTCACGAGTGCTTACAAATTTTCCACTGGAGCTCGAGCGTCGCGCTGCTGCTAATGCTAGAGTTTCTGCTACTGGTTTTCATGTAATCGACGCCGAACCTTCAATGTTTTTGCGTGAAAAACTACATGATGATGCTTTATTGAAAAGGAAACAAGAAAAATCGACGCAGAAGAAGCGGTTGTATCCACCCGATAGGAATACACGAGCTGTAACTTTGGATCGAAATGTGTCTTTACCGAAGCTGCCGCAGCCTTCACATGGGGAAGAACTGTTAGATTGCTCAACATTGATCAAACCTTTGAACTTTAGTGCATCTGATTCTATACTCGCAACAGCATCGACACCACTTAAGCTGCCAATTTCCTCAAGTCCAGAAAAGATCAGTCGCAATATTGAGCGGAAATTGAATCTTTGCCAGCAAATCGAGGCGAATGTTAGCGACATGAAATATCAAGGCAAGATTGTGAGAAACAAGGAGTCAATGAAAACCACATCAACTTGTATGTTGAAAACCGTATCTGAGTAGCAACAATGTACGATAAGTGAAGTTCCGGGTGAGAGTGATAGAAGAAACCGTCATCAACACGAAAGTTTGATATGTACAACCATTTATAAAAACTCCAGTCAGAGTTTCATGTGCTATTTGGTACACTTTCTAGTGAAGTTATGATAACTTTTTATGCTTCATATGAAAATGGGATTACACTTTCTTCTTGGCCATGCAGTAGCGTTGGCGTGAGACGTCAATACGTTGCTGACTTGCTGACTCCCATTAGTCTTCACAATTCCAACGTGCTTCTGTTGCGGACATTGATTGTCATTCAAGCACACATTCAAAGCGTAACAATTGGATCAATGAAGTTCCCACGTGTTTCAAAATCGAAACACCTCGAAAGCAGAGAGTAGCTCAGCTACAAATAACTGTTTCACCTGAGTAGCTCACAAAACGGGAAAGTGATACGGCCCAAAAAAAGCACAAAGTGCGGTCGCATCCCCTTAGATGTATTCAGAGCAGAGGTCGTTCTTGGTATATAAAGACTATATTGTGAAGCTTATAAGAGTTCATTTCGCGGCAGAAACTACAGCTTACAGTAAAGTCTGAAGCATCTCAGACGACGTCACCCGGATGGCACGAATCATGAAGGAACAGAATACGGCGCACATGAAGAATCCTTCAGCAACCTTGAAGACCGCCTCTGCTATCACACCTCACCAGTTTAGATTATTGTCGTTCCGGCGAAAATTGCACAATACTTGTGTCAACAGCTGGCCATTCCCTTATACCTTTTCAGATAATCGCGCTGGAAGTTTACTATGATCTTGATCTTCGCAGGATTTACCCATAGCACATAGTTTTCAATCAAGAAACAACGTCAAAGACATAATTATGGAATAGTTTGTATTTGCGCATACACTCGAGAACCACGTGGAATGTCCGCATCGGAAGTCCTGTGCTCGACACTAGCAATGGACGTATATATTGCCTAAATGGATCTATGCGTGTGCACGATGCTGCCAACTCGGCTGTGTCACCAGATGATTCAGCAGATAGGTCTAACCTTTCCCAGAGCAGCTCTACGTGTTTAATTGCATTGAGAAAGATATTGCTGATTGTACGGGATCACTATAAAAGGCAAGTGAATAAAAATCCCCCTTGGACAACACCAGTCGCCTGTACCATCTCACCAAAGGTAGCCTATGGAGACCCCAATCCAAGCAAGTTCATAGCTGCTTCAACAGGGACTAAATGTGTAGACAACGGCGATTCGTCACTAACTCCTGTCGCGACAGATACGCCGGTATCCGCGACAAACAGTCTTTAGCTCCTGCATAGCGTAAACGCTGTTGGCTGCGGCCGACAGCCGTTCATGCCTTACGAGCTACGTTTGAGGCTCTACAAATATTGCAACTAATAAACAATCGCCCTGATTCAAGGCTGTCACAGCGTTGTGTTCGCGCAGAAAATGCTTTCCGGGACTTACGGCCCGTCGCAGCTCTATCAGATGGAAAACAAGAACTTTATGCAAAAACTGCAATACGATAAAGATTTATGAATCGCGAGACCTCCGAATATGGATTCAAAATTGTGATATTAGTTCATTTGCTTATAATCTACTAGCTCAAGCAGTCGTGCATCTTATCACGAATTTTCAAGGCCATGAGAAGCCCTCCTTTTTGAGGTCAACGTTCAACAACTCCTGGCTGTGAGCCTCGCATTTTTTAGGAGGTCTAGCTTCCTAGAATGATAGAAACCCCATGTCTTCGATTTCACGGAAAGTAGTGGAGCTAAGCATTTTACAAAACGCTGCCTTGCGCCTACTGGAAACTTAAATACCCACAAGTCGGTCCTGCGTTGAGAGCTCGACCCTCCGTACCTGTTGTTGCCACTTGAAATTTGCGTTGTCACACTTCATGCACCTGTGACTAATGGTGAATTTACGTGGGAGGGTTTGATACTAGCTCTATAAACATTTTCTGATATGTGTTCTAGTTCTTGCGTAGCCAGATCAGGCCAACCGCGTGCGTGAAAATTCTTGTCCACTGCCATGCATCTTCATAAATGTCCGACTAAAGTCACAGTTGATAACCATATTGCCGGTTTGCAGGCTCTAACTTTTCCGGAATTGGTGGGGGCAGCCTGCCTCGTATATTGATTGACAGCACGTGAAGTCCATTTTCGCATGTGACCTCCAATGTTATCGCGATGCATTGAATCGCTGTTTGGAGCAGAGATGAGGCCTGGATCATCTCAGTCTCCCGTATATTGCGAAAGTGCCCCCCTGTCGTAATTCTCAATGATTGTGAAGCTTGACAAAAATGGTTTCGCTCCATTAATCTTCGTATGGGTCGTGTGGACTTCTACTGACGTCTGGCTAAAATTATCGGGGAGGTGTTTTACCGGCGCAAACGCCCCCAGAATAGCGGTGAGCCCACATTCAGATCTTGATCCTCAAATTTCACTACCTCCTCGAATTTGACTGTGCCTTGTTGTCTCGGAGGGAACTGAATGAGCATGTCTTGCTGTAACGGGGTTACACGTACCCTGATATGAAGAGGTCACACAAGATGATGCAATTATACAAAAGTGTGGGTTACACAAGACGGTGTAATCATACAATGGTGTGACTACACCTTAACAAGAAGTCAGTATGTGTCTGGACTGCCAGTAGTTATGCATTTTTATTAGGTTTTACCATTTTGAAAACCTATAGATTTAGATTTAGGCGGCTTTGCAGCGAAAAAATCAAGAAATACAGTTTACATCTTGAACGGAAGTGTTTATTTGCCTTGGGTTAAGGTTGTGGTAATTTTTGGAGTAAGGGATTGTGATCCGCTACACTTGTACTGGTTCTAATTATAGAACGAAGGTCACCAGCCTTAGCTTAGCTTCCTCGAAGT